AATCTGTATATGGGGTATAAATGGGAGTTCATAACCCACTTGAATCAAATGTATGAAATATGATATGTCAAGAGCTTTGTAATGTTTTGAACAACTAATACTAAAAAAAGAGTTTCCGAAAAAAAAAAGATTTTTCTCTACAATGAAGGAGCAGAATCCATTGGTTAAAATATTAAATAGAACATCCAAGGACCAGTTTAATTGCTTGCTACTCTACCAATGATTTTTAAACATTTCTAGTTAAACCATAAACCTTTGAGAAATAGCATAAAGATTAATATTTATGTAATTTCTAAGTAAAAGTATAATGGGAGAGTCATAAAAAATATAATTTATATTAAAAAGCTAATGTGCACCAAAAGCAATGTAAAATTAAGCTTTAGACAAAAACTAAAAAAACAATGGCTACATATTATTGTTTAATAAATATCTTGCACGTAAGTACATCTCATTTACAAACAGACATAGAGATCAAATAACACAATAACAACAATGTTAAAATCACAATTGGAAAAGCAGCAGAGCATTGAAAGTTCCTATGTAACTTTTGCACCAAGATATTGGTCTTCAAATTGTCAAATGCTGTGCACTTTTTGGTCTTTATCTTAATTACTGACTGGTGTTCAACTTAGTTGCCTGCAGGGGTCGCTGGAAACACTTTTTCCTTGCTTTCTATCACTGCACCCTCTGGTTTTCCCTTTGATCTTTTTGCTACAGTGATTTAAACATTTTTGTTTACTTCTTCCTTCTCCAAGTATAAAAAATTTATACATTCAGGAATGAGTAAAAGGCTTTTAATCTGGAATGCACAGCATGGCAAGCCAAAGGTGTAACCAAAGAGGAAAAGGTAAGAAAATATTTTACTGGCAAAAAGGGAAAAAATCATATAAGCTGCTCAGATACAAAGTCTATTGGTCTTCTTTCTAGACCAATGGCAGGAGCTGAAGTCTTATTGGTAGAGGTGCCATTGCGGGGAAAGAAAGCATCTTGTCTGAATTGTAGTCTTAGAGAATGTTAAAGATAAACTCTGTTATAGAAATGTGTGTCTGTGTGTGAGCTATGTCAAGCATGTTGTGTATGGAGGTTTTCTGGTGTTTTTTGTTTTTTTTTTCTGAAGAAGTCCTTGAAATAGTTAACAGTTCTTATCTCAGACAGGCTGAGCGAGCATGAGCTCCCAGCTTTCCCAGCTCTAAATTTTGTCCAGGTGTGACAGAGGAACTTTGTCTTGGATCCACAATTTTCATAGAGATTAGAAAGGTGAGGGGGTGCTGGTACATAAAGCTGCAGCAGGGAGGACTGCCCATGTTAGTGCCTGTGCTGTGCAGTAGGGTGGACGCACTGACTAAAGACCAGGGAGGCCATGCCATTGAAAGGGTGAGGTGGTGCAAAATGAGGTACAAAATGAAAAAGTGACCAGGTATGAGTCTGGGAGGATGGCAAGCCATGGGTGCATTGAGACAAAAATAAGGAGGAAGTAAACAAGCCATCCAGCCAGCTCTCTGGTCCTAGCTCTCTGGTGCTTCTTCTTACAAGACCACCAATCCCATCAGATCAGGACCCAACCCTCATAATTTCATCTAACCTAATTATCTCCCAAAGGCCCCATCTCTAATACCATCCATTGAGGATTAAGCTTCAACATGTTAATCTGGGAATCATGTACCAAATGGCAACCTTCAGTAGAAAATCACCAATTATCTTCCCATTGTAATATGAGAAACATTAAAGACAGTTAAGGCCATGAGGTTGGATAGGAGGAGTAACTTAAGAGTGTTTCAGTAGCACAGTAGGGTAACTATTTTTAACAACAATTAATTGTATATTTCAAAATAGCTGGTAGAGAGGATCTTTAATGTTCCTAACACAATGAAATTATAAATGTTTGAGGGACTGTATATGCCAATTAATCTTACATGATCATCATACATTGTATACATGTATTAAAATATCACACTCTACTCCATAAATTCATACAAATTTTTCTTCATGGTGCTACAAATTGAACCCAGGACCTCATACATGTTGATATACTCTACCACTGAACTGTACTCCCAAATGGTACAATTATTAGGTCAATTAAAATAAAAAAAATTTAAAAAACAATAATAAGGGAAAGGTGAAATTAAAAACTCTAGAACTTTTGGCAGTAATTAACTAAAAGCATCTAGAAAAAAAAACTTTCCAAATTTAAACATCACTGACTAATAATAATAATAGGTACCTTCTAGGTAGCAGGCACTGACCTAAGCACTGAACATACATTACYCATTGGATCTTCACAACAATCTAAGGAGGTGCTTGCTATTATCATCAATCCCACTTAAATATGGTATATTTGAGGCAGAGAGAAGTTAAGCAATTTGTTCAGAGTCAGGGTACTAATACATGAAAWATGCAGGAGGAAGCTCCAGAGTCCTGCTCTTAACTCCTTCATTGTTCTATGATAGCTCCTCCACATTAGCACCTTGTAAAAAAAAAAAAAAGTACACAGAACATTAAGCTAAAAGTTCCCCCAGAGAAATATCACTGAAATCCTATTGTTAATTAAGGATTCCGGTAGTGCTTTGTTAAAATTAAACACAAATATCCAGGTGCAGTGGTGCATGCCTGTAGTCCCAGATACTCAGGAGGCTGAGGTGAGAAGAATACTTGAGCCAAGGAGTTCAAGGTTAGCCTAGGCAACATAGGAAGACTCTGTCTTTTAAAAGCAAAAAGTTAAATACAAGTCTAATCTGGAATACAAGAAGCCATTTACTATCAATTATAAAATGCTATAGTATACCTTTTCTCTCCAGGTTTGTGAGAAAACCTTTAAAGGAGCCAAGCCCCAACTCATCCCTATAGCAAACAACTGCAAGAGAACCACCCCTATAGTGACATACTGCTGTAGAAATGATAGTGTGTAGCTGGCTTAGGTCAATCAGGGATAAACATTAAAATTATCTTTCACAGCTTTAAATTTAAATAAATGATATGGAAATTTTTACTTCAGTTTTGTATTTCTGTGATAATGGACAGGGAAGGCAGATATATTCAATAGCCAAGAGAGATTTCACTTTTTTTTTTCCACCAAAGACAACAGGACAGAAAAAGCAAGATTTCTTTATTTGCTTTAAACGAACAATCACAGGTTATAATGGGTTTGGACAAAAAGCAATGTTCTATGAGAAGAACTAAACTTTAATTCCTTGTTATACTTCATCCTGCCAATCTGTATATTATACTAGACCAAAAATTTACACAGGCATGGGGATCATGTATGTCTTCTTTTACCCTGTCATCCGATTGTGTCTGGCACATAGTGAGGGCTCAATAAATATGTTATATGAATTAATGCTGATCATAAGACTGATAAGATGCATTAGAAAGCACATGCAAAACAGGAAAGAAAGGAGAAGCTCTTTGTTTCCTATAACTGTGATATTAATAGGTAAATATCAATAGATTAATATTTAGAAAGGAAATGGCCTTGAGAGAGAAGAAAAATAAGGGTAACAGTAACTCTTTTAAAGTTATTTTCATTGAGCTCAAAGTAAAACACAAAAAATTGAAAAACTGATTTTTTTCAGATCTCCAAAATAAGAAAAATTTGAGTACATTTAGAGGTATGAAAAGTTAGTATCCAATACAGATTCAATTTACAAATGTATAGCATTATGTAGATAGGGAAAGAAGAATCAGATTCCCTGTTTTCCAGGACTTTGTGTATAACTCCTCCGCATCCTTTTATTTATGTTTATGCTTCTATGTTCTCTTTTCTATTTAGTCAGATTATAATTTTTATTCCATATTTTGTCTCCATAAGTAAATGCGTGTGTGTTAGACTGATCATCATAAAATTCATTGTTGACTCAGATGCTCTAAATCTATTAATTCAGGTATTCTTAACCTATTGATTCAGATAAATAATATTTAATGGATGCTTCAGAAACATTATACAAATAAAATCTGCTATTTCCCAAGAGCATAAAGGCAAATAATACTGCAAACTAAAAGTGAATTCTCTAAATAGGGTGTATTATCTAAGTTAAAATTTGAGAGGTGCTAAAGTTTATTCAAAAAACTATATTTTGTAAACCATATTTTTTCCTTTGTTTTCATTTTTCCTGTGGCTATAGGCACTGTTGTGATAAAGAGTAAATCATAATATTTCCCTTTACTTAAGCCTGTTCTCACATCTAGAAACTGGAGTGTCTCCATACTCCTGTTATCATACATTATGGACACCTTGCTAGGTGTGGAACATTAATTATATTTAGATTAAATGAGAGCATGATAAGCAGGTCTATTGGTTTTTTTTTAATATTTGTTTAGTTGTAGATGAAGGTCTATTGTTTAAAACAGAATGAGGGAAAGTTAAAGCTGAAAGGTTTCTCTGAGCGCACCCTGTTAAATATTCTTCACTTAAGGAAACAGAAGCACCAAGAAGTGCTGACAGCCCTTTGTCCTTTAATATGCATTTGGTAAGAGGCCTATTGTGAAATATTTGGTCTTAAAAAGGTCTCATTTTCCAAGTTGCTGACCAATGGCATTTAACAGAGGTTCCCATGCACATATTAATATAATTCACAGTCATTATGCATCTTGGAACCCTAAAACTAAAAATTAAATCAAGTAAATTTACCCCTAAGCTTTCTGGTTTTGGAGTTGGCAGAAACAGGGGTTAGAGAGCAGTGTCTGGAGCTGAAATTCTAAGTGACTTGGAAAGAGAGAAGCCATTTTACTGATGTGTGACAGTGAAGCAGAGGACATGCATGTCTACTGTGGAGTCTTCCAGCAACACAGTAGGCAGACAGAAACACTCTGATACCTGTTTTGAGCCCACACCTGGCAAGGTCACCCACTTTCCTCACCACAGCTTTCTGCTAACCCTTCATTCACCAGACACCTGGTGCTCTGCCTAGCCCTGGGAAAACAGGGCTGAGGACTGTGGAGTTTGGGTTCCTGTTCTTGTCAGAAAACCAAATGGAAACCACCAGAAAAAATATATCACATATATCAATGGTAGCGATTTGTTACATGGAATCCCTAACTCCTCAGAGGTCTTGGCACCAAATAGAGGAATTATTTTCAGTATTTCAAAGTGACTAGTAGAAATCACACATTGATTGACAGTGTTACACAGACTAATTATAACATCAAGTTTCTTTTTTTTTTGCCTTGAATTCTGTCTTGCTGTGGGATTATGCCAGGCTTATAGGAGCTCTGAAGAGCAGTGAAAGATATTTTAGATTACTAAGATTAAGGAAATCATTACCAATAGATAAAAATCAGGTCACTTAAAGAACAAGATGAAATGATAAAAGGGATTTTTGTGGTATGAATAAAGATTCAAAAAATTCGCTAAGAGAAATCCCCTCCCCATTCCACCTCTCCCTTGGTTCTATGATAACAACTCACTGGGCAGGGCAGGGAGGTTTTCCTGTAACTGGCGTCTTGTGGTCGGTGGTGTTCCCGGGGTCCTCTCTCATCCTCCTCTCTCCAGCTGTGACCCCAGAAGCTGCTCATCCATTTGGCAAAAGATACATCATCATCATCATCATCATCTTTGTTCTCCATTTAAAGGTGATTCAAAACATTGAAGTCCTGTTCCTAAGTCTAACAGAGAGAAATATCACATAACAGGGCTGACTTGAAACCCAGGATTCTCCCCGAAAAGACAAAACGAAGCTGATATTTTTAAATGGTCTCTGACAATGGCATCTTTAAAGGAGAAAGGTTTACTAACAACCACTTCATCATCAGGCAGCCTTGGGCAATGTCTATTTATAAATTGTGCAGCCCACACTACCCTCCCCCTTTTTTTAATTGAGAGGCTTTTAATCCTCCCATTGCTGGGGCTTGTGCCTCACAGCCTAAGGGTAGAAATCACAGTCCACTGCCTGGTTTTCCCTGTGCTTTGCTGCCAATGGCATGTGATGGCATCTCCAGCTGTCAATGATGATGAAGCATGACTCTCATAATATGTCAGGCCAGCACTGAAATAAGGCCACATTTAAAGGACAGACTGACAGCAGCTTGCAAGATAGCCAGCTGTTGGCAACCCATTTCTAGATCTGGATACTCTCCTAATAAATCAAATACATATTAACAGGAAATCTAGCTCTTGTGTCAAAGCAAGCAGTTTGTACTGAAGTATTATATATGTGTGTGTACCAATATAAATAATATCCATGTAAAATGTACAAATCTGAAGTACACCACTTGGATGAATTTTTACTATGAATACCCTGTATTACCAACCATGACACAGGTTAAGCCAGAACATTTCCAGTTCTCCATCAGGCTCCCTTTGTCCCATTTCCAATCCACATTCCCTTTAAAAGGTTACTACTCCTGACTTCCACTCCCTTAGATTAATCTGCCTATACTTGAACTTTCTTTCAGTGGTACTGTACATTATTATTTTTTATGTGTCATCCAACATTATATCTGTGAGATTTGTCCACATTTTTTCAGTAACAGTACTTCATGTGGCATAGTAATGAATTGCATGAATATCCCACAATTTTTTTAACTCAATAATGTATGGTCATTTAGGGCTGTAACATGGGTCATTTCCAGTAGGGGCTATTATTTTTAAAAAGCTTCTGTGAACTTTTCAGCCCTGTTTTCAGTCATTTTTTTCAAGGTAAGGAGGATATTAAATTTATGGAGCCTCTACTGTGTTGCATATGGAGTATATATCTTACAAATGCTGTGTTCTTTATAACAGCATTGGGAGATATTGAGGAGTAAACTGATTAAATTATGTTCTATGCATGTACAAATATGCCACAATGAAACCCACCATTCTGTACAAGTATTTTGCACCAAAATAAAATAAAAAACCTGTCACTGGGAGATTTGTGTCACATTTTATAGATGAAGAATTTGAGATTTAAGTAGTTTATCCCTTGCCCAAGGTGAAATTGTTGCTAAGCAGCACAGTCAGGTTTGAAGCAAGTCTCTCTACCATTCTGCCAGTATTCCACAGACTTTGGAGAAATCTTGAATTTTCATAAGGAGATTCTTGGTGATTTGTCAAATAAAAATCCTTTCTGGAGCTGAAAAAAAAAGATAAGCTTGATAACTATGTACTAGTCCTAGAGCATGGTACCATAATTTATACTTACATAAAAAGTAAAATAATCAAAGCCTAAAATGGTTTGCAAAATTTTTACTTCTTGATTTAAAAGAGATTCATGCTTGCTGTTTTGTAATATTTTTATAATAATTGGAGGAAGGCTGATTCTCAATGACCCAGGAAAAATTATAACTGTATGTCATCGCTGTTGGCTGTCTTTGTTACTAAAAAAAGACATAAGATAATTCCCCTTGGATTTTATTCCCCAGTTCTTCCCCTCTCCCTCCTGCCCTCCTTCCCTTTTTCTCCCCTACCTCTCCTCTACTGACCTTCAAAGGCATACTGTATTAGTCAAAGTCTTTCAGAAAAACAGACTCAATAGGAGTCAGGGTTCTCCAGAGAAACTGAATCAATATATTGACTCCCTTTGGGCATTCCTTCTAAAAGCAAGGATTCAAGTGAATTATTTGAACTGAAAAGGAAATTCTCTGGTCAGAGAGTTCCAACACACATACACATACACATACACATATGAGGGACAAGGAATGAATAAGAGGAATTGATTCATGCAATTATGGAATTTGAGAAATCCCAAGATCTGCCCACTTGCAACCTGAGGGACCAAAACAGGTGTTGGTATAGCTCAATCTGAATCCAAAGCTATGCCAACCAGGGGAGCCAATGGTGTAAATCCAAATCAAATAGCAGGAGAAAATGAGATTAAATGTCCCAACTCAAGCAATGAAGCAAACAATTTGTTCAATTCAAGCTCTCGGAGTAGGATGATGCTTACTCACACTGGGGACAGCAACCCATGTTACTGAGTTCACCAGTTCAACTGATGACCTCATCATCATCCTCCCAGACACACCCAGAAATGATGTTTAATTTAATCTGGACATCCCATGGCCACACTAACACATAACATTAACATCACAGTTACTAATCCATTCTTGAGAATTCTATCTCAATTTGTGTTTATCTCAAGTTGGAGGAGAGCACATCCCAAGGATGTGAGGTCACTCCAATCACTTCTTTTTTTTTAATTGGTTGTTCAAAACATTACAAAGCTCTTGACATATCATATTTCATACATTAGATTCAAGTTGGTTATGAACTCCCAATTTTACCCCAAATACAGATTGCAGAACCACATCAGTTACACATCCACATTTTTACCTAATGCCCTATTGGTAACTGTTGTATTCTGCTACCTTTCCTATCCTCTCCAATCACTTCTGATAGATGAGTCTCTTGACTCCTTCTCAGGGTTGTCTCATGAGTTTTAATTTGTGTTCAGTTTTCCAGATTATTTGAAATTTTCAACATTAGATTGAAAGCCTGACCAATTTGCTCACTCTCTTTATTTAGGCAGTTGATTATTAAATGYAGCTGTCCCCAGACAGAGATTAATCTTTTCCAGGCAGTTTTCTGGATAAATGACCAGAAAAAAAGGGGTGGAGGTTTTCTAAGCACATTCTGAACATTTTTGAAAATTCAGAATTTTGTTCTAACAAACTCCTGAACATGATGTGTATGTATGTATGTATGTATGTGTGTGTGTATATATATATTTATATATATATTAATATATATATTATATATATTTATATATATATATATATGATATATACATGATATATATATGATATATACATGATATATATATATGGGGATAGAGATGTGGCTAGTCCCTGGGTTCAATCCCCAGTACCAAATAATAAAGAGAGAGAGAGAGAGAGAGAGAGAGAGAGAGAGAATTATGCTAATGAAAGTTCATATCTCAAAAGAAATTTAATAATTATATAAATAAAGATATAATTTTATAACTATATAAATGAAAATTTTTTAAAGCATTCCTTAAGTAACATAATCATAGAGATTTAGACGACATTTGTGATTCCTCTAGGTTAGGGATTAGGGAAGAAGGACTCTGGCAATTAAAAATTTAGCTTTAAGAAATTTTATGTTATGAATCATCTCCATATTTTGATTGAGGCAGTAGTAAATTTAACCAATAAAAGACCTCTGTGATGAAAGATTTCTGTTATGTACAATTAAAATGCCCTAATTTTTTAAAAAGTTCAAGAACTTCACACCCAGAAAAATAGACAGTGACAGACATGAATCTGGACATGTCAAGATGCACCCATGAGATATTATTTATAACCTTACTCTTATTGATAGAAAATGACTAGAAACAATGATGAGCCAAAAGTCAATGAGCATCTCAATTGACCCAAATTGTAGTCTTGAAGTGCTATTTATCATTTAACAACAAAAGAACAAAAAAAAGTAGTAGTAAAAAAACAAAATGACTTATTGAAGAAAGGGATTAATCTCTTGTGGATCAAGAACAATCTTGGAAACTCCTGACTCAACAGAGCAAGAAAACTATAATGACTACTAAAGATAGGCCAGTTATAATTTCAATTTTCCATTATAAAAGTATTCCAACTAATAAATGAAAATGAGATGTTAAAAATAGAGTATCAGCATTTTGTGCATCCATTACAGAGTCAATTCCATTGAAATAGTGGGCTGATTGTCACAAAGAGGCAACCACATGTCATCTACATTCTATAATCTTGCAAAGGAATCAAACCTGAATCTAGTTGACTCTAGATCCAGCCACCAATGCAGATTAAGAGAGACTTAGAAAACACCATTTTTATATAAATAACATAAATTTATTTCTTACAGTTCTGTAGGCTGAGAAGTACAAAATCAATGCATTGTAGATTTGGTGTCTGAGAAGGATCCTCTTCCTGATTCATAGATGTGCTTTCTTACTGTGACCTCACATGGTAGAAGGAACAAGCCAGCTCTCTGTAGACTCTTTTATATAGACACTAACTCATTMTTTTGGGGGTTTTTTGGTTCTTTTTAATTTAAAAATGTATATCATTTTTTAATGGGCAAGACTAAATCACAATATAGGGTTTCACATTTTTTTAATGTAAATAAACCATTACTGTGTAAGTGAAGACAATGGTTACTTATGAGAGGTTGAAGGTACATTATGAGTTGGATTGGAAACATGGAAGAAGCTTCTGGGACAGCAGCAAACTTTTTTTTTTTTTTTTTTTTTTTTTTTTTTTGTCGGGGTGGATACCAGGGATTGAACTCAGGGGCATGCAACCACTGAGCCACTTCCCCAGCCCTATTATGAATTTTATTTAGAGACAGGGTCTCACTGAATTGCTACTGACTTGCTTTTGCTGAGGCTGGCTTTGAACTTGCAATCCTTCTGCTTAAGCAAAAGACCTGAAAGACATTAAACGTCTTGAACCATAGAGTACGTACCACCACACCCAGCTAACAGCAAACTTTTATATCTTGCTGTGGATGATGGATTTAGCGTGTTATAATTAATTCTTATAATAATTAATCCGTTCTTCTATTGGCGGATTTCTAATTTCCAATTTCTGCCAATAAAAGCAGCTGTGCTTTAAACCTTGTTTCTTTGGGCAGTGTTTTTCTAGAGCTTCCATTTACAGGTGAAATTTCTGGACTGGTGATAACTAATTTTTGTCTTTTATTAAACACTGAGAGTTGGTCCCAAGAGGGCAGAAACCACCACACACACATACACAAATCATACTATTTACTCTCTAAAGTAGCTCAACCAATTTATAATTCCATTTCCTGATATCTGGCAAAACACGAGTTTTGCCACGTTTAAAATTTATCACATTATAGGTGCAAAATAAAATCTCTTGTTTTTTTCATTTGTATTTCCCTAATTATTAATGAAGGTAAGGATATTTTATATGTTTATTGGCCATTTTCATTTCATTTCTTCTATGGATGTCCTTTACTCATTTTTCTTCAGAGCTTTTTAAAATTGATCTTTATTATTTTCCATATATTGTATATTAACCTTCTGCAAGATTTTTTTAGGGTAACTTTTTTTTATTAGTTGCTCAAGACATATTCATCACAAATATCTTTTCCCAGTATAGGTCTCCTCTCAAATTATAGTGTCACATGTTTTATGTAAGTTGAAATCTTTTAATATAGACAAACACATTCTTTATAAGCTTATGCTTTATCCTATCACAAAGTCATCAAGATATTCACTTACATTTTCTTCTGAAAGCTTTCGTTTTCTACATATAGGTCTTCAAACTATGTGTAATTTTATTTGTGGTATCAGGTAGAATTCTCCTTTAGTTTTTGTTATTTGGTAACTTTACTGGCTTTCTATTACTATGTATCAAATTATCACAGATTTATGATATAAGCTAGGATTATCCACTAAATGATCACAAATGTTAGCAGCTAAACAATACTAATTTATTATCTTACAGTTCTCATAACTTAGAAGTCTAAATACATGTTAGCTGGGTCCTCTGTTAAAGGTCTAATCAGATGTAAACCAAAGTATTTGATGCTCATAGTCTTCTTCCAAGTTTACTAAAAGAATTCAGTTTCTTGTAGGGTAGGACATTTTTCTTGCTGGTTGCTGGCTAGGGACCACTCTCAGCTCCTAGAGTTCCTTTCCATGTGGCCGGCCCTTCCATAGCTTATTGCTTTTTCACACCCATAAGATTGGGAATGCTTTTTTCACTCCCAATAGCTTTAACCTCCCTTAAGGGCTCACTTGAATAGGTCAGATACACTGGGGTTGTTCTCCTTTTTGATTAACCTTGATTAAGCCATTTTGAACCTTCCACACAAACTTGCCCACCAACTGAATATCATTGAGTAATCTCTGTTGATAGCAGCAGTCTATCAAGCTGTGCCAAAATTCGAAAGCAACAAAATTATGAAAGATAATAAAATAATTGTTTAATCCATAAAGTTTTGGTGAAGTTTATGAAGCAGCAATATATATCTGGAACATATGTACAGAAACTATTTTTTGTGGCTTTAAGTTTTTTTCATAATTTAATAAAATTGAGTCTCTATCTCATTGTTGGAGTTGAGGTTATTTTCTACTGGCTATGAAAAATAACAAAAGGTAAATCTAGGAAA